AGGTGTCACGCTGTGCTCCGGGTTTGGTCTTGTCATCTGCGTCCATTCCAACGCAGTGGCGGGCTGCTCTATAGCTCAGCGCTGTCTTTACTGTTCTTTCTCTGTTTTTCCAGAGTCAGGCAAGGTCTTTCATCTTTACTTTCTGGTGAAAAATTTGATCCCTCCCCTCCTCCCACCCCGGATAAAAGTATTTTCTTGTTCTCCTGTATTTTGGAGGCTGAAATGGAGAGTATCTCACTGCCTGCACTTCAAATACAGCAGTGTTTGGGGGACAGGAAGGTTTTATAGCTAACACGGAAGAGCAGATCACCAGTCCCCTTGTTTTTGGGTTAAAGCAGGGGTACAGCCAAATCTTTCAAATTATCACCAGACAGAAATGGCAGCATAGCAGGTGCTTCACCGCACTGAGATATCACACTGTTCCATACTCACCATATCTGGGAGCCTTGACTGGGCCACTATACTACCGCACAAGGTGCTATGCAAACCAACCAAAAACGATCCATGCCCAAAGCTCTCTTAAGGTATAAGAGCAGAGGCAGGAGACGTCATGGAAAAGTGGAAAAACATGAGGAAGCCCCGGGAGGTACAGCAGTTATTAGCACAGCAGTACCCTGCCTGGCCTCTGCTGAGGTTCTGTTGGCAAGCTGGGGTACACAACGTGTGGTCCAAAGAAGTGCAATTCTGAGAGCGGATGATACTGAAGAAACATCAGATATCTCCAACTGTCACTATACTATTAAGTCTTTGAACCAGAAGTCAGTAGGATTTGGTGATGGTGGTAGTGGTGGCTTGATTTCCTCTTTTCTGTGGAGTGCTAGAAAATGCTTGGGGTACCAGATCAGCATCTAAACCACAAAACCATAGAATCAAAATAATTTAGGTTGGAAGGACCTCTGGAGTACATCTGGTTCAACTCCCAGAGATTTGGGAGTTTCTAGATGTTTCTAAATCATCCAAATAAGCAACCATTTTCAAAAGTGACTTGTGTGTCTGTCCTGCTGGAAGGCAAAAGACTTGAAATCCTGAAGCATTTGTGCATTTCTGAAAACATCCTGTCTGATCAATACAGAAAAAACATTCTCTGCCTTTTGCCATTATTTTCATTTGTTCAGTCTTACCTGATAAGAAGACATTTGTTTAATGTTCACATCTGCAAATGACACAAAGTGCAGAGAAGCAGTGAGTAGCATCCTTTACCCCTGACATATTTAGCGGGAACCCTAATTCAGGAATTATTTTGGTAGGCTATAGCAGGTCATTTATACATGTTGAAAAGGCCCTGGTGAACTTTATTCTTGTTTAATTTTTCTTGAATACCTTTGCTTCATATGATTTGTTGTATCTATTGTTTTAAATACATCTTAAATACATGCTTCAAAGCAGTACCATTTTGTAATAATCAGTATTTTGATGAGATGGACATCATCATACCCAAATCTTCCAGATTTTTTTTCTTTGTTCGTTTGCTCTATGCATACTTGTTAATTAGAAGCTATAAACTAAGATAAGGTCAGTGACTCATTTCACTGAGAGTCAGCACATGCATGTCCTCTTCTTAATGACCACATGATGGAATAACAAATCAGGCTGACAAAGGCAAAAATGTAGAAGCAGAAGATCTATCTAACACTAATTATTTCTGGCAAGCATGAAAAAAAACACTAAAACAGTAAGTAAACAACCAAAATATCCTCCAGAATCCAAAGTAGTCAGATTTGACTAGAATTCTCAAAAATGAAATAAAATTAATAACAGTTGAAAACGATTTAAGTTCAAAAGGGCAAAAACCAGCTTCGTGCACTGGGCACGCTATTGACAATATATAAAAATTAAGGAAAACCTTCAGAAACTCGGGAACTTTCCTGCTACTTGTAGCATGGCTAACAGCCCCTTTAACTGTCTGATGAGATCCATTAAGAGGTCAAGTTTTCGGTTATTTATAATTTCGTCAAAATATTTGCAGTAAAATTTCCTCTGCTGAATGTTCCAGGTAAAAATAGTTTAGCTGTTTTCAGAAATGAAACTAAAAGAAAAAATGATATTTTCTCATGTTGTTTTTGAAATTTGCTGTGATTTGAGAAGCTGCGCATTTTTGGGGGGGGGGGGGGGAAGGCTGCTTTAAATTTGGCAGGGGGGCAGTCTCTTTCAAAGTTGTGCCATTTGCCACCTGAAAATTCATTCCTACTTGGCAAACTTGCCAGACTTTGAAAGACCTCTGTTCACCCCAGCTCTAGAGAGTTTGGGGCCTCTCTGAAGGCACTAGGAGTAGAGTGCCACAACTATGCTTTGTGGCTACCTGTGCAGAGATGGTGCACATGCCTCCCAGAGGTCTTCTGTGTCATCAGGCTCAGGCACTGGTGTCCAGGGAGTCCACCTTTCCTTGGTGGTTTTGTTGATGCTTCCCACAAACTGGACTTTATTAGCAAGAGTGCAGCAGGTTGAAGAGAGGGATCATTGCCCTCTGTGCAGTGCTTGGGATGCCACATCTGGAGTACTGCTGTGCAGCGTTGGGTCTACAAGTACACGAGAGACATCAACAACATGCATGCAATCCCACAGAGGGTCAGTAAGGTGGTTGGGGACTGGAGCATTCGGCCTATAAGGAGAGGCTGAGGGAGCTGGGTTTGTTCAGCCTGGAGAAGAAAAGGCCGAGGAGATCTAACTGATATCTGCCTCTGCCTGAAGGGAGGGTGTAGAGAAGGCAGAGCTGGACTCTTCTTGAAAGGGCACAGAGAAAGCACAAGAGGCACCAGCTGTGACTTGCAACAAGGGAAAAACTCTCCCCTGGAAGTGATTTGGCACTGGCATAGGTGCCCAGAGGGACTGGGTAATCTCCATCCTTGGAGATATTCAGGACTCACGGCCCTGAGCAACCTGATCTAGCTCTGCTGTTAGCTCAGGGCTCTGAGCACGTCCTATCTCCTGCTAGGGCTGGGGCTGCATGGGTTTGGGACCAACTTAGAGAGAGTGCAGCTGAGGGCTGCTCCTTCCCTCTGGTGACTTTGGGAAGAGCTTCCAGAAAGCTCTGCTGGGAGGCCTTCGCCAGGGCTGACTGCCCCTTGTCCCTGGGAGCTGCTTTTAAGCTTAATCTCTTGCCTTTAGTTCTCTCTAGCTATATTGAAGCTGCATTGTAGCTGCCTGCACCTGACCATGTATCAGGTTGATCCAAACCCTGATACGGACCCGTGGGCAGACTTCCTCGCTTGGCCTGAAGCCTGCCTTGTCACTATGGACTTGATTGGCGATCACTGGCCTCTGGCCTACCCTGGTTACTGTCTCCGGACCTGATCCTGATGCTGACTTGACTTGACCTTGGACCTGCCTTGTCATCATGGACTTGTTTGACCATCTGGATTCTTAGCTGAACCTGGCTACCATCACCATGCTTCTTCTGCTCACCTTGCTCAGGTACTTTGGGATGGGGCCCTTACTGGTGAAGCTGCTTCCTTTGCCTGCCTTGCTATCACGGAGCAGCTGGCCCTTGCTGCTCCCTGACAACCTGCTGTAAGTAGGGACCTCCAAAGGCCTCTTCCCACCTAAATATTTCTGTGAATCTATGAAGAATCTGGGGAAGGCAGACAGGACCAGAGGAGGAGGAACAAGTAAAGGGGTCTAAGAAGGAGGAAGGTGGAGGCAGCTGTGGAAATGGGCAGCAGTGCATCTGCTGTGACATCACTCCACTAGCCCATAAGTTCTAGAACAAAAGAGTAACATCACACGTCACCAAAAGGTACACACTCAGGTGTGTTTCCTTTCCAGCTGCATTATTTCATAAGTGATTCATGTTCATGTCACAATCCTGAATTTTCAAGACAGAAATACTTACTCTCCCTCAAGCCTTCCTCCATCTCTTTCACCGCATCTCTCAGATGCCATTAAATGTCTTTTGTCTGCTAACATATTTCAACCCGAGTTTGTCGGTGATGCATGTGCTGAGAAAGGAGGATGTAGGTGGCCTCCTTAGAACATATGTCTCCCAAAACAGCCGGTGGCACAAGGATATCTCTGTGGAGAAGTTCACCATCTAGCCACTTGCATCTATAGTGACCTTGTAATACCAGGACAGGTCTTTAAGGGAGACTAGAAAGGTGGATTTGAATCCCTATATCTCCTAAACCGTATTGTAATACAAAAACTTCACCTAAACTGTATTGTAATACAAAAACATCACGCATTGCCATTCCTTTTTTCCCACAGCAGTCACAGGGTGAAGGCTTGAAATGTGATTCTTTGCTAATTCAGGAGGTAATACTCTAGAGACTTGGATTTTACTCTCACAACATTTCTAGACACTTTTCATTATCATTTCTTTAACATTAAAAAAAAAAAAATCAAATATACTGTAATGGATCCGCTCCAGGATAACCTAGTGCTGCTTTTCTGAGTCCTGCTGGAAGCCAAAGAGAGGTTCTGTCATAGTGCTGATGGAAAGGTGAGCCTTGGGAGATTGGCAGGAGTGGATAACTGCGGTTTCTGGCGTTGCCTGCTTATAGCTGGGTCTCTTGCTTCTGGGGAGATTTACAGGGCTTTAGTATAGAGTGCAGGCTGAAAAGCATGTACAAACAGTGCAAGCAAATATATTTCACCACAGCCTCATTCTGTGACATCATTTCTCTTTGAGAACGAAAATCACCCAGACCTTGATATCAATCACCCGGTGGCTAAGTGACAAGAAAAAGTGCAAAGCACTGACGTCCATGTAATCTTCAGAACCGGCATTAGTTGGTATCCCTCTGTCTCTGTGGCCATTATGAATGCTTGGTGTATTTTCAAGAATGCTAGTGTTTCCCAGGCTCTCTTGCCTTAGGTAAATGTATACCCCATTGTGCTGCATGTGTGTGTGTATGTGCAGCTGCACAAGTATATTTGACATACTGCCAAAACATTGCTTTGCTAAGGTCTGTGACTTACTATACATTTAGGAACCTATTTTCTGCAAGAGTACTAAATACTCAGCTGTTCCTTTGACCTCAGCAAGGACTGCTAGATGCTTCAACACTTTTTGAAAATTAAATCACTTAATTGGGTGCCCAAAACTGGACTTAGGACTCAAACCGAGACATGCAGCTAAAAAGAAAAAAATAAGGTGTTCTTCAGTCTTTACTACTAAATTCACTAACTGAACTTAGGACTCAAACCGAGACATGCAGCTAAAAAGAAAAAAATAAGGTGTTCTTCAGTCTTTACTACTAAATTCACTCTATCAGCAATGACTACCATATCTGTGTTCTAATTATTCCAACAACCATTTCACCTTCCAGTTACACGTGCAACAAGGAGGTGCTTGGACAGGATGGACTTGCTATAGGAATCCATGCTGATCAGAACTAGACACAGTAGGTTTGTTTCAAGCACTTTTTTCCCCACTGTATGTTTCCTGTACCAGAAGATTTAGGTGGGACCATGTCACCAGCATATTTATTCAAAACAACCTTTCATCCTTCATCTTTGTCTCATCAAGTTCACCCACATACAACCTGCTGTGCTCCCTCCTTCAAACAGTTTGCTAATTTACCCTGACCTGTTTCCCACCATCTTTGTTTAACTATTGAATGAGCCACTCTGCAACTCAGCAACGACATGACCTTTTTGTGGTTATATTTCCGAGTCCTCAATAGGGGCACTCAGGAATATTGTAGTAGGAAGTGATGGCAAAGATTCACTGGGATGGATAAAATGGTCAGCTGGAAACTGTTTCATTTTTGAGGAAGTATGGACTTGGTGGGACTTATTTTCCACAACCTGATTCTTCAGCATCCCTATATCTGAGTCCCAGGCTTGTCCCCGCTGCAGCTTCTTAAAGGTGTTTCGGAAACCCTCAGTGCTAAAGTAGTAGATCAGAGGGTCCAGCGTGCAGTTCATGCTGGCCAACAGCATTGTCACAATTAGCACTTGGCGCACAGATGCTTGTGTTTGTTCCTCAACCTTCAGCATGTGGGCTTTTATCATCCCATAAACTGCCAGGGTACTGTTGTAAGGCACAAAGCAGATGATGAAGATGACCAGATTGACCAAGAGGAGACGGATGGTCTTCTGCTGTCGCAGGTTCCTCGTCTGGCTGACCTTGCAGAGCTCGCAAAAGATCCTAATTGAGCAGTACGTCACAGAGCTCAGAGGCAGGAGAAAACCCAGGATCTCAGCCAGGACAACGAGAGGGAAGAGGTTGTTCTGCCACATGTTGTCACTGAAACTTTCAAAGCACAGATGAATGGTCTGATTCTGTATCATACAGTGGTTTTGCTTGTGGACCATGGCTGTGGGGATGGAGCCCATGAGGATCATAATCCAAACGATCAGGCAAAGGAGCCTGGCCACTTTGGGGCGCCGCAGATGCCGCCAGCGGAGCGGGTGGACAATGGCAATGTAGCGGTCCAGGTTGATGCACATGAGGAAGAGGCAGCTACCATACATGTTAATCTGGAAGACGGAGCCAGAGACCTGGCACAGGAAGTCATCAAAGGGCCAGTAGTGGTTGGAATAGTAGTAGAGTCGCAGTGGCAGAGGAAGCGTGAAGATGAGGTCACTCACGGCCAGGTTGAACATGTAGATCATGACCACAGACTTCAGGCGCAGGTAGCGCATGAAGATCCAAAGTGCCATAATGTTGAGCGTCAAACCCGTAGTAAAGATCAGGATATAGCCAGGCAGAAGGAGGTGGTGGTTGAAGCGGTAATCCTTGCAAGGCTGAGACACATTGGCAGCTGACATGCTCAGCGGGGAACAGGAGACGATCTCAGTGAGATGGCTGAAACTGCTGGTGGACTAAGGAGGCACAAAGAAAAGAACTGAGAGAAGTCATTCCCCTCGAGGAACCTATGGGCAGGTCACTCCCATCATCTGCAGCTGAGAAGTAGACGGGCTTGTCTGTCTCTTGGCTGGTGCCGTCTTGGCTTGCTGGTCAGTGGTTATCTGGCAGGGATGGTCATCTTCTGCCTCTAGCTCAGCAATAATTTACAGTGGTTATGGGGATGCTGATACCATGGAAGGTCATTGCCGATTGCTGCAAGTCGGCACCATTCCTGGTCAGAGTGGAAGATCAAGAAAGAACAGTTCAATTTAGAGGGGTCCTCTAAATACACCTTCTTGAAAGGTCAACATTCCACCATGGCGGCTTCTGCTACAAGAACACACAAAGAAAGAAAAGGGACAAAAATGTGCAGTAGAAGAGTGAGTGATGAAATGGCAGAAGAAGCAAGAACAGAGGATGTAACTGCTGTAAGGAATCATTTACCATTCAGCTCTAAAAATTCATTTTGTTTTGATCAGTAGTGTGACATAGGCATGTAAGAAAAGGACAGCACAAGAGCACACGGGGAAAATAGTCAACGCAGCTCCAGAAAAAAAGAAGAAAAAAGAGAGAGCGAAAGAAGAGAGAGAGAGAGAGTAAGCACTCTGAGGGAAAAATGCTGACTGGAAAGAAACTTAGAACAGAGTAAAAACTGTATTATACTGTTTTTTATCAGAGAAACAGGACTTTGTACGTTCATTGTAGATAAAGAGGATTACACTACAGCTAGGCTTGACTCCACCCTAGTTTCTCTTCCTAAGTGAAATAACCTACTCAAACCTGAGTCCCAGCTAAGGGCTTGACCAGAATGGATAAACTTCAGTGGATAGATGCACCTCACCCGTGTTTCTAGGGATGAGTGCGCAAACAGGACCAGGGCAGCGGAGGTATCTCAGGTCCTTCCTCAGGATTTGTAATAGACAGAATAACAGGGTTGATGAGATGGTAGAAATGACTGTGCTGCAGTTTAATTATGACATTCCAGTTAAGTGCAAGTAAAGATAGATTTACATTACAGCAGCTGGAGTTCCTTACGTTGCTTATGTTCACACAGTTTCTTCTCTAGCTCTTTCGGTGTGCTTTCTTGCACCGGCCAGTAGTGCCTATAAGGGTGTGTGTCCTTAGATCATTTTCCTGCTTATGACACCAAAAAGCATGAGGCAGCCCACATCCCACCCTATTCTTTTACCAACACAGAGGAGAACACCTAGGTAAGGCAACACACAGTAACAGAGGAATGACCATGGGCAAACATACCTGTGGCTCCTAGGCAATGTGAGGTTGGCAATCATTCTATATACTAATGGTAGCAGTGCCCTGCCAAACATTGATCAGCTGGAGTGGGTCTAGTGAAAGACCACCAAGATGGTCAGGGGGCTGCAGAACTTGACCTACAAGGAGAGGCTGAGGGAACTGGGCTTGTGCAGCCTGGAAAAGAGAATGGCTTTGGGAGACCTAACGGCAGCCTTCCCATACCTGTGAAGAGGTTGCTGGAGGAGGACAGAGCTAGGTTATTCACAGTGGGGTGTGGCAAGAGGACAAGAGACAGTAAGCGTACACTGAAAAAACAGAGATTCAGACTGAACATAATGAAAAACTTTTTCACCATGAGGACACACAGGCAGTGCCACAGGTTGGCCAGAGAGGACACAGGTCTTCTTGCTTGGAAGTTTTCAAGACCAGATTGCATAAAGCTGTGAGAACCTAGTCTGATCTGACAGCTGACCCTGCTTTGAGCAGGAGGCTGGACAAGACACCTCCTAAGGTCCCTTCTGACGTTCTGAGTTATCCTATGAACCTAAAACTAGTCATCTGCTCTAAAAGCTGCCACAGTGGAGTAAGGGTTAGTAAGCATGTTTGTAGGGGTTAGATAGGAACTCCCTGATAGAGCCAATGTAGAGTGTGATTTACCTCAAAAGGAAAGTAGAATTTTTTCTGTTTGGAGGTGGAGCTTACTGTAAGAGGATGCCACCCAGCAACCTATGCCCGCTTTGAAAGTCTAAAGGAAAAAAAAACACAGTAATTTTTTTTTTTTTAAATAAGAAAAAATTTCAGGCATGGCTTGATAGGCATGTCAGACCTTCTGGATGGCGTTGTGGGCAATGCGCAGGCTTAGAGGGAGGAGCTATTCAAGGCAGAAGCGCACACTGATCTTTTATTCTGGTGAATATATGTCAGATAATAAAAGTGGAGCTGTAATATGAGAGAGCAGGGATAAAAAGAAGATAGCTATCAATTTGCCCATCCTTTTTGTGTTGTTGTGCAGGTCTGCCACCATGCCAGGTTTCTTAGAGAAACTTCTACTGGTCTATCAAACTACATCTGAGCAGCTCTCTTCCGTCTTTGAAAGGGATGGTGAAAAACTTTGTGTGAACCCTTGCATAAATATAAGATAACCCAGAAAGACAACGCAAATATACAAGAATGTTACTGGTTTTAAGTGAAATGATTAGCTGCCTCCGAAAATATTGAGAGAGACATTGTGCTAGTGCCAAAACCCTGCAATAACTCCCTACTGAACAGACTGGAGAGCCCCTTTGTCTTGATTGAAACACAGGAAGACTGAGGACCTGGGAGAGAGCAGCTGTAACTTACCTGACGGCCTGCTGTAACAAGTGCCCAGACCAGCCAGGTGACAGGTGAAGGTGACTTGACTCTATAGACAAACTATTTTTATCAAGAGGGATTCAATACACACCTCTAGAGAACACAAGTATGTAAGCATGGCCCCATACTGTGTCAGATCAGTGGTCTATCTATCTGAAACGTTGCCCATCTGAAATAATGGCTAGTAATGGATGATAAAGAGACAATATAAGGACAATGCAATTATGTAGTGATACTCCCCCAAATCCTCTTTCTGCTTCCAACAAATTGCAGTCCAGCCAGAGACTTCCTGAACCAGAGATGACATAGTTGTATTTAATAGTCCTCAGTGGATTTTTCTTTTATGGTTTTTTTTCTAGTTGCCTTTTGAATCCCTGTAAAATTTAACATCTACAACGTCCGGTGCTAAGGAGTGCCAGGGAGTTCCACAACTTAGCTGCATCTCATGCAAAGAAACATCTCATTTTACCCTTTTAAAACCTGCCACCTGCTATATTCAGCTCCTACTTTTAGTATTGGAAGAGACAGGGAAAAACTGATCCCTATTTACATTCTCCTTAGCTCTCCTTCTCCTTCTACACATGATTTTATAGACTTCTGCCATATTCCCCATCAGCCACCATCTTTTTTGAGGCTGATGGTCCTAGTCTTCTTAGTTGTTCCTCAGAGATCATCCATTCTGTACTTTTGAGCATCCTTGTTGGTCTTCTCAGAACCTTTCTAGTTCTGCTACAGCCTCTGTAAGCCCTGGGATGGAGTGCTGAAACGCATGTAGTATTCAAGATACGGATGCACTGAGTTGAGGATGAGGATCTCATCTGCGAGTGGTAATGGTCAGTTCAGATTGTTTTTTCTCATCACTTAGCTAGATTGAATTTCAGCTGTCATTTTAATGCCAGTCACTCACTCTCCTAATAATCTCTGCAGTTCTTCACAGCCAACTCTCATCATTTCTACTTTGAACAATTTTATGTCTCCAGCAGCTTTGTTATTTCATCATTCTTTCCCAGGTCCTTTATGAATAAGTCAAACAGCCCAAGACCCAGAACAGGTGTCTTGAAACTCCACTGAGAAAACTGACCATTTACTCTCACTCTCTGTCCTATCTTCTAACCAAATTTTATCCATGTAAGGACCCTTTATTTTAATTTCTTTAAGCACCATTGGTGAGGGACCATTTGAAAGCCTTTTGGAAACCCACGTGGCCCACTGTCTATGTGCTTGTTGATTTCTTCAAAGAACTCCAGCAGGACTGCGAGACACACCAACCCTTTACAAAAGCCATGTTGACTCTTCCCCAGTACAGCAGTAGGGTCTGCATGTCTGCTAGTTTTTTCCTTTATTATAGTTTCTGCTAAGTTGTGCAGCACAGACATCGAGCTCAGTGGTTACAAATCCCCCAGTATCTGTGGAGCCTTTTCTCAAATTGTGTCTGCTAGTCAGTCTTTAAAAGTAGTTTTAAGCAAGAGTTTGTGCACCACAGTCAGCCAGCTCTTTCCTTGAGTTGTTTTTGGAACTCTGGGATAGAAGCCCTGTGCTTTTGGAGATTTGCTAACTGTTTAGTTCATCTTATTGCTCTATAACGCTTCCTACCAACATTCTGATTAGACATACTCCTTTGACAAATTTCCCTATAAAGAGAGTTTCTGCCATGGAAATCTCCTAGACACTCCTGTTATGAAAACCAGTCCAAGAAATCTGTTGGGTTTTATCTCCGCCATCACCTTTTCTTTTTTCTAAGTGGTCTTGTCATACATATCAGCCCTTAAGCCACGGAGGCACCAAAGAGCAGATTTCTACATTTTGAAGCAAAGATCGTCACCATGAGCTGTGGTATTATTAAAGATAAGGTGATAGCCTGAACTTTGAAATAAGAGCTACCGTGATCAAGATATCTGAGACCTGATATGGGATGCTTACACCCACCCTCTTTGGAAAGAGGAAGTTGTGGGAACAGAGCTATTCCCTGCAGGGCTCTGGAGGTACTGTTCTCACTGTTCCTCACGGAAGAAGCAAGTTCTTGATGAAGCAGGCTGGGAGTGGGGAGGTAGAGCATACAAGTGCTGAAACTGGTTTGAGTATTCTTTTTAGTTAATGTCCAAGAGCCATGGGAGATATTCTTTGTGGTTGTCCTCTAGGAGAACCTCAGGTCTTCATTGCTCTACACAAAAGCTGCTGAGAGGTCTCGTCATCGGCTGTGCAAGGAAGCAATAGTATCACAGCTTGAACTAGCAATAGAGAAAAACCAACCAAGTAGATATTTTAGTGTCTAGATTCCTCTACAGAAATCAGTCTCCTCGTGGTGAGATGCTGCCTTGAAATCCTGAAGGAGCTTTCTGCTTGATGATTGACCTTAAGTGACCTAGCAGGTGGAGGTGGTTTCTTTTTACCTCTCAGCGTAGATCAGTGTGAGCCCTTCAAGGCCTGTGGTTGTCTGCCCAGACCATGGCCTTTTCTCAAGTCAAGACAGAAAACAGCAATTCAAACTAGAAATATCACCTAGGCAGATACCTCTTCCTGTCATAGTTTCAGCAGCAAGGTGAATTTATTGCTAGTGTTGTTGCTTTGGCAGGGTAGAAGGGGGAAGGGGTATGACAGGGGCATGACACGTGCATGTACATGCACACACACACACAATCGCACAATCTCACTCCCTCACTATAAACAACTTGCTGCAGGGGAAGAGGCACTGTAGAAACTAGAAGGGAGGAGGGGTAAACACTGGCGGCAGCTGCTGGTGAGGGAGGAAGGGTTGCCGGTGTGTGCATGAGGTGAGGGGGACACTGGCGTCAGCTGCTATTGCTGGGTGAGGGGAAAGGAGAACGTGATGTTGGAGCATGGGCAGACAACCCAAAAAACAGCTGCAAAGAAGGTGCTGCCCTCCCTCCCAAATACACCCTCCTGTGGCCGCCCCGCATTGGCCACAGCCAGGCACATGCCTCCTCTCAGCACTCAGGAGGTGTCCACTGCCCTGGCTGGTTTAGGGGGCCCCTGATGGCCTTAGACAAGGGCAGGTGCAGCACCTGCTGAAGACAAGCCAGAAGTCAGCCCCGAGGTCTGTCACAGGCAGCCTAGGCAAGGTGGCCCCAGAGGACATGCAAAACACATAGGGCTTTTGAATTTGTCTTTTGCAGGGTGGGAAAACCTAACTATACTTGCTTATGGGAGGTGGAAGAAGCAAATGGGCCCTGAGATGTGTCTGGCATCTCTCTGCCTGGCCCTTGGCCTCTTGTCTCTCAACAGCCTCCTACCAAAGTCACCAAGAGGCAGCCTGTCACTGTCTGCTGGCACTGCACCGAGGATGAAGGAGCACAGCACGGTGGAACATAGGGTTGTCATGGAGCAGAGAGAAGAGGTGAAAGGAGAGAGCTAGAGAAGCATTGCTGAGCATGCCACAAGAGGGTAGCCAATGTTTCTGATGGTGGCTTGACGTTTAAGCCCTGCAGCACTCTGGGGCTGCCCTGTGGACACAGGCAGAGAGCTCAGCACTGGGGTGGCAAGTAAGCAGAGTAGTGCAGATGAAGCCACAAACTGCAGAAGCTGACTTAGTAGATCTGAAGCCAAGAGGATGTGCCGCATCAAAAAAATCCTATGGTTGCTTTAGAAATTGAAAAAATATATATTTTTTGTAAATGTGGATGTTTTTGCCTGCTATAGGGGATATTTAAGCCCCACTTTTCACCTTTTTCCTAACTATGAGATTAGGTTTTTGTGATTATTAGACCCACAGAGATTTTTGAGACTTAGAGTGTCTGTTTTTAATGAAAGATGTGTGACACTGGAGCTCAGGCCTCTGTGCTTAACTCATGAGGTCTGACCACACTGCCACTGCCTACTTGCTAGAAGTATCACCCACCTTCGTCTCCTACAGAGCCCATGGAAAAGGACATTTGTCCATTGCGGGCACCTTGGGAAGTAAGCCCTGCACACAGACAATGCCTTTTGTATCACAGAAACCCAAAGAAAGCCTGTATTTGAATAAATACTGAGACCTGTCTCACGCCTCTCAGTTTACTACGTAACTGAAGAGAAACGTAGAGGCGTTCTCAGTACCCAATGGTCAGTTCTGGCAACACGTGCTCCGCACCTTGCCAGGTTGGATGCCCTGTGCTCCCAAACCACCCACCTCTCTAGCCGCTTCCTGTTTGCTTACCTCTCTGCTGGCGAAGAGCTGGGGGTGCATGCAGGCTGGCTGTCTAACGCTTGCCGCCACTGTAGCAATTTCGATTTGGACATCTAAACCGCCATCAGCTTGAATCAAAACAGACTGGGCAGGCTGTCTGGCTACTTGCTCATCTGAGTCGCGGCTGCTCCCTACCGTGCCACGGCCGTTCTCTGACTGCCATGCTGCAGTTATCTTCCCTCCTCTCTCACTTCCTGATGCTGGCCACAAAGCATGAACTTTGCTATCTGAAGTCAATAAGCTAAAACACATCCTATGAAAATAAACATAATAGTGAAAGAAGCAACACCCAGGTGCGTTCGCAACCTGGGTCGTAGTGTCAAATATTTGCTTGTCTTTGCTCCTGTGCTAACTCAAGCCAGAATCAACGTAGGAAAATTAAAACATCGCCTTTCCCAAAATATTACCAAACAGAAGAGATAGAAGTGAAATATGGGAAGTGAGAGCAAAAGCAAGCACACAAAGACAATTCGATCACTAGCCAGCACAAAGACTCAGCGCCTTATCAGTCCCAAGGGCTTGGGCACCTTGGGGCAGAGCCCCTGTGCGGGGCCCAGCTGTGCCCTATGGGCAAGGGCACAAAAAGAACTGAGCACAGTGCCCGTGGCAGACGAGGGCACATTTGTCACAAATGTCAATCCCATTGTCAAAAGTTGCAGGAGAAATAGCACTAAGAAAGTGCAAGTGCTGAATTAGCGGGATGTCTGAGACCTGGCACTGCCAGGTGTAACTGGGATGGGATCTGTCCTTTCTAGAGCCCATCCTGCACTCTGCTGCTTTCTGAAGTCCTATTTCTGCTTTGTTGGTCACAGCATACCTGGAAGAAGACAAGGGGTCAAAGAGACACTCCTAATCCTACCATCTTCCTTTCCCAGGGGCAGCTGCTGTCTCCTGCCCTGAGAAGAAACTGCTGTGCCTACAGGCTCTTCTTTCTCTGCAGCCCTTGCCCAGCTCCTCCATGCACTGGATGTTACTGTTTGTGTTTGACTTTCTCACTCCATGTGTCCCTTGTTCTGCTGTCACTGCCTCCTCATTCAGGGAGTGACACACCAAGGGATATATGTCCCTGCTGCTCATAAATCCTTAGAGGATACAATAGCACCCAAAACACTGATCTCATCCTGTTTCATTTTAGTGCTTGTCTTTTAGCAACCAGACTGCCTTTCTCACTTCCTAGTTGCTGGGATCTTTGTTCTCACAGCTTTTCACATTTTTAATTCCCATCAAGGCTCTGGTACTATTGAAGGCTTGCAAAGATATTGGGAGGGGCCCTTCCCCATTTGCAAAAAGAGTCTTTAACATCCTCTGTGGGAACCTTCCCCTCTGCTGCGCCTCCCCACCCCCCCAACATGCATGCACACGCGTGGCTAAGCCTGGCAGTCCTGGCCTTACCATGTGCATCGGGAGAGGAAGACATGGTGGAAATGAGCTTAGTCAATAGGTCTGTGCTGCCCCACAGCATCCGTCACGCGATCAGGCTCACTCACCTCACCGGGTCTTGGCACATCCGCCTGTAAATTCCCACTGCCCCTCCCAGGGGGGCTCGCACCTTTGCTCCTGAACTGTCTCTTGGAGGCTTAGCTCATGGGGAAGAACAGCACAACTCCCCGCGTTTCCTCACTGCTGTCTGAGTCGGCAGCAGGTAAGACCAGATTACTGGGGGGGTGTGTCGGAGGCTACACCCTGGTGCTGCAGATCCCAACATGTCTGCCACCCCAGAGTACTGACTCCAAAAGGCAGGAGTAAGGACCAAGCAGAACTGGAGAAGCAGGGAAGCGGAGAGACAAGCGGAGAAATGGAAAGCATGCTATGATGGAGGAGCTGGTCAGGTTTGAAAGGATAGCTGAGAAACCCAAACACTCTTCACATCTCTTTGGGTAGGGAAATGTAAAAAAGCGTAACAAAGGGGTTAGCCCACGTGTGGGGCAAGCGGAAGATGTGGAAGACCTATAAAAAGGCCAGAGCAGCAGTATTTCACTTTCTGAGTGATTCAGACAGGAAAAGCAGAAACCTCTGGGCTGCGTGCAGGAGTTATGCCTTCTAGAGACTTCAGGACAGCTGGAATTTCCCAGGCCTGATGGGGGGATGACAGTCATTAATCTCAGGATATTTCAACTCCCTGATCACCCAATTCAAATTTTACTAACTGCTCAGAGGTTCTTAGGAAAGGAGTACTCATGGTGTATGTGTGCGTGTGGGGGGGACAGTTACCTCAATATGCCTTCTCAGGGTAAGGGAAAAGACAGTCCCTCCTGCGATGGGGGAAAAGGGGTGATGAAGGGAGAGCAGCTGGGCTGCGTCTGTTTGCTGTAGCTATGTGGGCTGCAGGGTAGAAAAGAGGAATCTCCAGCCTGGAGGAGGTAGATGAGGGAGGATCATCAAGGACAGCAGCTAGGGTTGAGGGAGGCAGCAGCTCTTCTCCTCTTTGCTCCCATGAACTGTCACTGCAGGGAAACTGGCTCTCCAAAGGGCTTGGTGACGGAAAGCAACAATGAGCTGGAGGGTCTAGTAACAGCTGCTTGATGCTGCTGCATTTTTCTTGCACGGAAGAGTCTGTCCACTACTGACTGAGTCTCAGGCTGTTTTTCGCTGATGAAGGGACTTGTCTGCTGAGAAAGATCACTACATCATCTGCTCTCAGGACTGCAGAGACCAGGTGTCAGACATCGACGCTATCCCCAGCCATGTGAGCTCCCTCGAACAGATGGCTGCCCCAGAGCCCTAGGTCAGAGCTCTCCCACAGTGCCCAACAAGCTGTAGGGGACCCTGCTTGTGGTGGACGCCCTCGCAGAGCCAACTTGGCAGATTTCTCTGGGCCACCAGGAGTCCGATGCTGACAGGCACACCAGGGCAGCCCATGGTTGTTGTCCAGAGCTGGGGCTACCTGTTCTTTGCAGCGCTGAGCTGGAGCTGCCGTGAGAGCAACTGTCTGGTGTGACGAGTGAGGGGTCAGACGGCTGATGCACAGAGCTGAAGGTGAAGTTTCACTGAGGACAGGATGGAGATGGTGTGGCTGTATGTGGTGCTGATTCCAGTGCAGCACATCCTTGCTGTGACCTGGCTGTAAGTATGCTTTGGACTTATACCATCTGGATTGAAAAGTCACCTAGGGAGGTGCTGTCCCCCAGGAAAATAGGGTGAGACAAGGGTGGAAAAAGGAATGTGGGCAACACAAAGGCAATACGTTAGGAGGAACCCCTCCGGGAACACCAAGGGAGAGGGACAGAGAGACTGAAGAGGTTCAAGCCAGGACAGGGCCCCAAATCTGCACAGAAAGGAGGCCACATGCCCTCCTCCCTGCCTCATTTCTACTTTAAAATAAGACTGCAGAAGGCTAGTCTCCTCCAGACACAACCCTGGCTTTAGCCTGTCTGAAGCTGAGACTCTTCCTTGCCCCACAGGTACCTGGCCAAGCAGAGTTCCCTGCGTGGGGCCCTTCAAGACCCTGGTGGCTGCAAGGGTCTGACAGGGCTGGTAGAGGAGCAGATACGCATTTGCCAGCGGCAGCTGGAGGCCATGGATGCGGTGAAGCACGGAGCAGAGCTGGCCGTCGAGGAGTGCCAGCATCAGTTTCACTCTCGCCGGTGGAACTGCTCCACCCTAC